CTCAGCTCTTTGCAATCTCCGTCTCCAGGGTTCACAGGATTCTCCTGCCTCAGCCTCCCGAATAGCCAGGACTACAGGTATGCACCACCACACCTGGCTAATTTTTTTGTATTTTTCGTAGAGATAGGGGTTTCACCATGTTGGCCAGACTGGTCTCAAACTCCTGACCTTAAGTGATCCATCCACTTTGGCCTCCCAAAGTACTGGGATTATACGCATGAGCCACCACGCCCGGCCAGTAGTGTGTCTTATGTCTACTTATATCAGCTTAATATTTAAAAAGTAAAAATAAACCAGAAGACAGAGCAGAGGGAGACTCCGTCTAAAAAAAAAAATGAAATTACAAAGATTAGCTGGGCATCGTGGCGGGTGCCTGTAATCCCAGCTACTCAGGAGGCTGAGGCAGGAGAATCACTTGAACCCAGGAGGCAGAGGTTGCAGTGAGCCAAGATCGCACCAATGCACTCCAGCCTGGGCAGCAAGAGTGAAACTCTGTCTCAAAAATAAATAAACAAAAAAACAAACAAAACCCTGAAGTCCATTTACACGTGATAGTCCCAGGAGCGGTGTGGTATAGAGACTAAGAACAGGGACTCTGGAAGGTTCCAATCAGTTCTGCCACTTACCATACAATCTTAACTAAACTTTGTCTTGGGGACTCTTCAATTTCTCATTCCTCATCAGGTAAACGGGATAAAATGAATTAAAGAATTCAAAATGCTCAACACAGAGCGCATTAGTTTGCTGCTAACATTATGAAATGCTTACTCTGTGCCAGGCAATAAATAGTGCTTACTACGTTAACATGATGTTAGGTTTAACATGGTGCTCAAAAATTACTATTCATAAGTAATATGAATTTATGTATTACGCAAAAAGTATTTAAAAGCCAGCTATTCGTAATAGTATGTGCAGTCTAGGTGTTTGCAGTGTTCAGGTGACACAGAAAAGGAAACAGGATAGGCAGCTGGTGGATCCTGCAGGGTGAATAGTATCTGAGAACCCAGACCCCACCGGCCCCACAGTGGAGAAGTACTTCAAATACAGTCTGAGTAGAGGGACAAGGTGGGGAGTCTTGGAACATCCTGTGGCAGAAGGCAGTTAGACCTGCTTTCTTCTCTCTCAGAATTCTGCAATCCAGAATAAGACAATATATAATTATATGCCGACAGTGCTAAGCAATCGTGTGATGAGCAGCCAGAAGAAGCTGGTAGGTGTTCCCACAGGCGAGGGAGGCAGTGTGGGGCAGGAACAAACAAAAGACAAAGAGAAAACTGACACAGGGTGTGCAGGACTCAGATGTTAACACCTCCCCTGGGAGCAGTGGCAAAGAATAGACAGTAAATGAACACAAATGTTGTTCTCAAACCCACAGCTGTTAGTGCCTCTATGTGGCATATTGGGAGCATGTTAACTTGTCTCCTGTCTTCCCCAAAAATGAGGAGCCTTGGTCAGCACAATTCACCTATGATACACACGGAGATAAAGAACAAGTACTTTAAAGAAGCAAAACAGAGAAAAGGGGCTGGGACTACCTATCTTTTTAAGTTCAGTGTATTGACCACAAATCAAACTAAGCAGTTTCCTTATTTTTTTCTTTTCTTTTTTTTTTTTGAGACGGAGTTTCGCTCTTGTTACCCAGGCTGGAGTGCAATGGCGAGATCTCGGCTCACCGCAACCTCCGTCTCCTGGGTTCAGGCAATTCTCCTGCCTCAGCCTCCTGAGTAGCTGGGACTACAGGCACGCGCCACCATGCCCAGCTAATTTTTTGTAGTTTTAGTAGAGACAGGGTTTCACCATGTTGACCAGGATGGTCTTGATCTCTTGGCCTCGTGATCCACCCGCCTCGGCCTCCCAAAGTGCTGGGATTACAGGCTTGAGCCACCGCGCCCGGCCCATTTTTTTCTTTTTTTCTTGCCCCACAAAACAGTCTAGCAACTTCCTTAAATAAAGATATATTCCAGACCCTTCTCTCTTACCGTGGGAAAGCTAAACAAATGAATTTTTGGAGCTGCATGTGGATTGCTTCCTCAATAGAAAGACACATTCGAATCAATTGATCAAATAATTTATGAAAGTTACAATAGGAAAAACTGCATGAGAAAGGAAAAAAGCAGAACTATAAAACAGCCTTTTCACTTTTACACATTTTTCACAACTTCTGGTATACTTTACCTCTGAAAAGAGGTATACATCAGGAAATACACTTCAAACCTATGCATCTTGTTAGCAACTTTTTTTGTTTTTGAGACAGAGTCTCGCTCTGTCACCAGGCTGGAGTGCAGACTGCATCGTCCACCTCCCAGGTTGAAGCAATTCTCCTGCCTCAGCCTCCTAAGTAGATGGGACTTACAGGCATGCGCCACCACGCCCAGGTGATTTTTATATTTTTAATAGAGATGAGGTTTCACCATTTTGGCCAGGATGGTCTCCAATTCACCCCGCCTCAGCCTTCCAAAGTGCTGGAATTATAGGCATGAGCCATGGTACCTGGCCACTGCTAGCAACTTTTATAAAATGTTTGGGTGAGTGAGGATAAGTCCATTTTAGACCAAAAACAATATATCTATAGATTTCATTTATATAACATTAATCTTCTTGGGTGACCCAGAACTAGATTTATAATAAAATCATAAAGGCAAAATCTTAAAGAATTTGTGGATGAATGCCTGTATATTGTTCAACTACATAATCTAATGTGTTTTTTTAAAAAGACTAAAACTTATAAATCATTACCACAAAAATATCTAGGATACCCATATATCTAATTGTAGCCTTCAGCAATACTCAGCAATATTATCAATGCTTTTATTATTAGTTTCTTCAGTTTTTTTTTTTTTTTTGGAGATGACGTCTCACTCTGTCCCCCCGGGTTGGAGTGCAATGGCATGTTCTCGTCTTACTGCAACCTCCACCTCCTGGATTCTAACGAGGTTCCTGCCTCAGCCTCCCAAGTAGCTGGGATTACAGGTGCCCACCACCACATCTGGCTAATTTTTCTATTTTTAGTAGAGATAGGATTTCACCATGTTCGTCAGGCTGGTCTCGAACTCCTGACCTCAAGTGATCCACCCGCCTCCCAAAGTGCTGGGATTACAGGCATGAGCCACCACACCCTGCAAGCTTCAATTTTTTTAAAGAGTTGAAGTCTTGCTTTGTCACCCAGGCGGAAGTGCAGTGGTGCTATCATGTCTCACTGTAGCCTCAATCTCCTGGCCTCAAGTGATCTTCCTGCCTCAGTATCCCATGTAGCTGGGACCACAGGTGCAGGCTGCCAGATAGGGTCTCACTATGTTGCCCAGGCTGGTCTTGAACTCCTGGCCTCAAGTGATTCTCCAGCCTCAGCCTCCCGATGGGATTACAGGCATGAACTACCTCACCAGACTCTTGTTCTTTCAAATGTTTACTGAGGTGCAGTTTCCAGAGTTGAAGTGTGTCAAAACCTATAGTTTTATAACTTTATATTTAATAATAACGTCACATAAAATGTATCCATTTCCTCAAAGCTCAAACAATGTAGAATTTCATCAATGTGACTGCATGTAAAATGATCAAACTCGTTTCAACTTATGCATCATGTGCTGGTACAGATGCAGATATCCACTAAGTGATTTACTCGTTATATGTCTTGCAAATTGCTTATGTTGTACAGCCACTTAACAAATGGAACCTGGATATTAACCTTCTGTTAGCACCCATTACACAAATATTTTTTAGCACCTTTACAGAGTATATTATATTAAAGTCATATGGTCTTCCAGATAGAAATACTCCTGGCTCTCCTGGAGCTTACAGTCTAGAGAGTCCAGTATTAGTCAGCAGAAAAGCCCCCCAAACACAGGCAGAACTAAGAGCCACAAAACCTCGACCTAGTCCTGGCGGTCCCATTATCGAGCTGTGCGATTATGGGGAGGTCGCCTCACTAATCACTCTAAGCCTCAGCTGCCTCATCTGAAAAATGTAGATTTGAACCAGTGGTCACAACCTTCCCAGCTTTAAGCAGTCTGAGACTGCCAGCAATTTTAGCGTCCCATTCCACTACGTGCTTTCAACACCTAGCAAGTAGTATGCTGGATAAACGAAAGGCAGCGAAGCACAACTGCAGCCGCAGAAGACGCCCCGAAGTCCCTTCCTGCTCTTCGGCTGTCTCTGCAGGGCATCTTTGAACAGGGCCAGGGCGATCTGCAGTAACAGAGCAGACACTGTGCGCTCCCTTCCCGCTCGCACTCGGTGGAACTACTCAAGGCCTTCATCCCCCTCCCTTCCTGTCGGAACTGAGGACTCGGGAGCCCGCCGGGAGGATGGCAGCGGCCGTTGACCCGTCTCCCCAGCGAACTCGGGCGGCGCTCCCGCCCACTGCACCTGCCTCAAGGACTGTCTCCCGCGCCGCTCCCGCCTGTCACGTGACAGCGCCCCCCCCCCGGCCGGGGGCCGGTTTTTGGCGCGCGGTAGTGACGTCAGCATCCTGTCAGCCACAGCCCCCGCCGCGGCCAGATCGACCTCGCGTTTTCAAGTCTGCCCCGCCTGCCGCGCCGTTAACGGGCCCCGGCTGCCTCGTGCCCGCCCGCCCGCGCCGCTCACCTTGAGGTGGCCGCTGTCTGGGCTGCTCGCTTCCTCCTCGTCCTCACCTCCCGAGGCGGCGGCGGAGGCCGAGGCGGCAGGCGGGGGCGCGCCCCGGCCCCGAAGCCCCGAGTGCTCGGCGGCGGCGGCGGCGGGCAGGGCGGCCGAGGCGGCGGCCCCCGCGACCCCGGGACTGAGCGTCACGTTGTGTGCGTTCTCGCCCCAGCGCCACGGGTACACCATGAAGTCGCTGAAGCCGGGGCTGGTGGGGATGAGCGGCGGCGGCGGCTCCGGCTCCCCTCCGCACGTAGGCTTGATCGGGGTCGTCCTGATGACCGACACCAGCACCCGCTTCGGGGAGTCGTGGCAGAAGATGACGGGCGGCGGCGGGTTCTCCGCCATGGGCGCCTCCACGCCCCGGATCATCGCCCGGCCCGACCCGCAGCTCCGGCGGCCCCGGGCCGCACCCCTGAGCACCGCTCTGTCCCTCGCTCGCTCTGCTCCGAGTCGCCGGCTCAGTGCTGCCGGCTCATTGCAGACGGACGCGTCCCGGAATCCTGCGCAGCGGCCACCTAAGGAACTGAGCGGCCGGCACGGGCGGGCAGGGCTGGACCCCGGCCCCAGGTCAAGCGCCCTCCGCTCTTCGTACTCCGCAGCGCAGGCTGCAACCGCGGGAAGCAGCGGACTGCCGGGCACTTGCGGTGACAGGAAAGCAGGACGCGCGGCGCTGAGCCCCCAAAAATAACAACCTGCCGCCGCGGTGCCTGCCCTGGCTTTTCCCGCGTTACATTTCGCGCCTGGGCGGAACCAGTCACCGCGAGGCCGCTGCCCGCTGGTCGCACCGACGAGTGACAGGCGGCGCGAGCCAATGGCCAGGCCCGGCCTTCTGTCCCTCCGGCGGGGGCGGGGCCGGGTCTGCGCGCGGGTCCTTCCCACCTCGCCATTGGCCGCCGCTCTTATATTTTTTTTCTGTCTCGGGGGCCAACAGCGTTCGAAACTCCAGCGGAGCGCGCGGTGTCCGCGCTTGCCGGGACACACCCGCCTGCCGCCCCGCCCCGCCTTCCCTCCGCGTGGTTCGTAGGGCCGGGGAGACGGGCGGCAAGAGGGCAGCTCATTGGACAGCGGCGGGGCGGGGTCGGGGCGATCGTTGGGCGGCAGAGCGCGCGCCCCGCTCGGCCCCACCCGCCGTTGGTTGTTGGGCAGCGATTCCCGCGCGCAGCGAGTTTAAAGGGCTGGGGGCCAGCTGCCCGCCCCGCCACGAGCCCGGCGGCCGGAGCCTCTGCTGCCCGAGGTCCTGGTGGGCACCCGGCGTGCTTGGTTTCTTAATCGAGTTCGTCTGCTCAGCTGTTGCATGCGCTGTGCGCCAGCCCTGGCAGCGCCGCTCTGACTCCCCCTTGCCCACTGTGGGCCTTGGGTTCCTTGTCTGTGGCAAGTGAGGAGTTCGGGAAGTGGCCTCCGAAGTCCCCGCGGGCCGCTTGCGGCGCAGAGGACACAAGAGCCGAACGAGTGTCCGCGCTCTCCCTGGAGCGATGCCCGGAAGTCGCCTTGGGGATCGCCCACCCTGGCGACCCCGCTCTGCCTAGCGGCTCCTCCGGGGGTCGGGCCGGCGCCCCGCTCTGCGCAGCCCCCACCTCCTTGGCAGCGTCCTGGTCCTCGCGCCGGGACGCTCGGAGCCCTGGTGCCCTCGGCCCGCCCCGCCCCAGCCCCGCCTGGCGGGCGCCGACCGCTGCCCGGGAGGGGCTCGGAGGGCGCAACGGGGGACCAGCTGGAGGGGGCGCCCAGTCTCCTACCCGCTGGAGGTAGACTGGGGAGCTGCGTTTTGTTCTTGGGAATACAGATTCCCAGGGCCCTGGCTAACTCGCGGTAGGGTCTCAATAAATATTTGTGGACTGCATGAATGAATATCCAGTGGCTAAGGGTTAGAATTGGTAATTAAGTTAGAACTCGCCTGCATAAGCTGAACAGGCTTTCTCTGAGAGACACGCAAATGCACAGCTATGCCTAAATTAAGCTTCAATTGTTTAAAAGCAAATACCGATATGAACAATTTCAAAAATGTATTTTTATTTTAAAAGCCAAAACAGGCAATAATGTGATATTATGTAAAATTGTAAAAGTAGGGAAAATATGTACATTTTTACTTTTAGACGTATACAAAATATCTGGCAAGATGCAAAAGAAACTAACACATCATGGAGGGAAATTATGTGGCTGGGAACAGAAGTGAAAAGATTTCAAGAGATACAACATATAACTGTATCTTTTGAAATTTGAACCAAGTGAAAGTATCCTTTTAAGAAATAGGGCCGGACATGGCGGCTCACGCCTGTAATCCCAGCACTTTGGGAGGCCAAAGCGGGCGGATCACAAGGTCAGGAGATCAAGACCATCCTGGCTAACAGGGTAAAACTGTCTCTTCTAAAAATACAAAAAATTAGCCGGCCATGGTGGTGGGCGGCGCCTGTAGTCCAGAAAGAAAAGAAAGGGAGGAAAGAAAAGAAGTAAGAAAGAGAAGGAAAGAGAAACAGTCTATAGCCTCCATTTTCTGGAGGCCTACTACAAAAATAGCATATATGTACTGATACGCAATGATATATGGGTGTTTCACATTTCACCCAACAATTCAGTATATTATTAATCCCATTTTACAAATGAGAAAAGTTGAGGCTTGTGCAAAATTACATAATAAATCCTTTGGAAGAATGGGTCTGAAAACTGCCTATGGGTTATATCTCAGTATCTGCAAAGCAAAAGGAAGAAAAGGCTGAAAAATGGGACTCACACATTTCTGAGTCCAATTTCTCATATTCCAGAACTTTGAGGGTTTAAGGGCAAATCTAATTTCATATTGTAATGGTTGATCTAGAAAGCTGAAAGTTCAAGCTCTACTTTAACATAATTTAGTAAACATTTTGTTTTTACAGTTTAATACCAAATAATTGTAACATATTTTTCTGAGTCAGTTGGAAGGGAAATGTTATCCATCTATTTTATACTTGACAGGTAGTGTAAAGAAAAAAGTGATCTATCCATCATGGACATTTGAATTAGGGGTTGAGCAAAATCCAACAGATTAATCACCAACAAATAGTTACTGTTTAACATTCAGAGCATGCCCCAGAGGGCAAGATGAATCATCCAGCACAGGACGCTGACTTTCTGCTTCTAAAAATTGCCCTTCATCAACAGTAACCTGGCAACTCCACTTGCTCTCTCCCCCAAGAGAATGAAAGACATGCCAGGAATGTGTGAACTGGGCAGAGGGTGATTCCAGGAGCAAAGCTGAGGTCATATCAGATCTTTGCTTGTTTGGCTCCATTTTCATGCAATGAGGAAGCTGTCTGAAGTGTGTGGATCCTATTCCTGATGTCTTTGTTCTGCCTCAGATGTAATTAACAGCCCATAATGTCAGAGGCCTGTGAACCAGAACAACTGCATCTTACACAGGAGCTGGGTAAAATGAGGCTGAAACCTACTGTCCTGCATTCCCAGACGGTTAAGGCATTTTAAGTCACGGGATGAGACAGGAGGTCAGCACAAAGACCAGCAGGCCATAAAGACGTTGCTGGGCCGGGCGCGGTGGCTCAAGCCTGTAATCCCAGCACTGTGGGAGGCCGAGGCGGGTGGATCACGAGGTCAAGAGATCGAGACCATCCTGGTCAACATGGTGAAACCCCGTCTCTA